TTATCTCAATCCATTTCTTTGGTTGAATATTCATCTTCTAAGTAAAGTATTTTTGATCTCATCTTTAATACCTTCACTTGAACTAAATTCTTACTATCCTTCTTTTTGTGAGCTATTATACATATATCTTCTCCTAATTTAGTATCTAATTTATATATAAATCATAAAAGGCTAGTGCCTTTGCATCACTATTGCTTTCCTAGCATCCTTACGAGCATCTTTATATATTTCCCAATTATGCAGAATTTTTAAATTAAACTAGATATTTATAACAAAGCTCTTATTTTTATTTTTTTCTTGCAGCTTTAGATTCACCCACCAACTATTTTTACTATAGGTGAGCTTTTCCCTTTGATATTTCAAGGACATCTTTTTGCAATATTCTTAATATCACTAGCCATTTTTTCCCACATTAATATTGCATGCCTCATGGACAGAAAAATCTTAAGATCTAAAATCTTATTTCTCAAAATATTTTTTGCTTAATATTCTTTAAATGCGCATCATTAATCGCTAGAAAATTGTTTTAAAAACTTTATTTTTTATTTTATGTCATTTTATCCTTAAGTCCAAAGCTAAAATCGATGTTTGGTTACATAAATTTGTCACTCGGATAACTTTACAATCTTTGGCAATCTAAAACGATTTTAATTTTCTAAAAGAAAATAGTCAATCTGGGCTTGTATTATATCCAATTTTTATAGTGATGAGATGCTCATTACCTTTTCTTAAATAAGGTATTAGAAATTAAAAATGATAAGCTAAACAACAATCCAATATGCTCTTGGACCTGTTCATTCGTCGTTCCAAATCGCATGGCCTCCATGGAATGCTTTTTAAAATCATCTACTCTCTAGCCAACATGTCGATTTAAATTCCTCCTAATAAACTTCTTTCTTAAGAGGTATAATTTTGCATTAATTCTTTTTAAAGTCATTCCAAAAATTTAATTTAGAAGCTCATATCGCAACCTACTTGCATGGAGCTAAGCACTTATATTTAACAATCTTATCATCAACAACAATTTTAAAGCTATACATTATCTATCCTCCATGCTAATTAATTTTTATAACATTAATCTTCTTTCTAAACTCTTATCTATAATAACACCTACACGATTTCTAATGTAGACTCCCTACCCGAACTACTCAAAGTTTAAATTCTAAATTATCAATTTCCTTAGGCCTTATCTTCAACACCATTAGTTTCCTGAATGCAGCAAAATATTTAACTTCCCTATGAATCATACATATCTATTTAATTACATTATTTTCTCTGTAAGAAGAATCTCTTCCAGTTCTATCCTATTTTAGTTTCATGGACTAGCTTCCTTGCGGAACACCGTTTTGATGTGGGAACACTTGCCTATTTAACACTGCAAAGTACCGGGCGCCGGTGAGCGCCTTGCACGACTCTGTCACTGTATTCAGGCCATACAGCGCGTTCGCTTTCAGGGGACTGTGCCCTATGCATTAACACAATTTCATTACAAGGATTCATGTCATTATTGTTCGCAGTTTTAACGCTGGCTGTCGACGTACCTCAGCAACCCTCCACTTTTCTCATGATCCAGGACTTGGGACCTGGCAACGGCAGTGTTTAGGCTGTCTACTACCTAGCCTCTTTCACCAAAACTAATGAGGAAAATAAGATTGGTGATGGCCCTTCCTCAACAAAATTAATACACTTGCCTAACTGGTAAGTTATGTGACTATTGTTCGATACTTGAACATATGAAAGAAAAATGCTATATGCTGCACCCTAAACTCTTTCATGAGAAAGAAAAGAATGATGAGAGAGCAAAACAACTATGGCAGTGGTGGACAACACCGTGCTAAGTTTAGTCAACAAAACAAACCCATCTATATCTCTAATATTCATCTTTGATGGAAATGCCGAAGACTAACAATGTCATCCCCTAATATGATCGCACAAGAGTTGTTCAACCTAAGAATACAAGTTAAGAAAGAGGCGATCAACGCCATCATCAACACAGGCAGACAAAACAACCTCATTTCTATCAATAGAAAAAAGAAAAAACTCATTTCTATCAATCAACTGTATAAATTAGAGTTAGAAATATAGCTTGATTTAATCCTTACTCGCTATGTTGGATTCAAAAGAAGCCAGAGATAATGATTGATCTCCAATAGTCTGGTGTTGCTTGAAGCTTGCAATCACAAATGATATCAAAGATGATACGTGAACTTGTTCTGCTTGACATATGCCAAGTCATTTTTGACAGCTCAAAAGTCATAATTGGTATATGGTACTACATCAGTGACCTATCAATGCTAGCTCACAAAAGAAAGGCTTTTCTATTGAAAAAGGACAACAAAGTCCTGATGAAAAACAAAATAACAACAGGGGCATGCAAGCGGACTAATCAATCTAAGCCAAAAATTCCAGCTGATGTTGATTTGCCATATTGAAAAGAAAGGAAAACCACGCTTTCCCTGTCATGGGCAAGAAATGTGATATGTAGACACAAAAGAAAACTTTGGAGCAAGACATACAACCCATCTCCAACACACTTCTATCAAATCTAACGATATGCTGAAACTTGGTCATTAAGTTTGACTCCATCATAACAAGGGTAATCAAGAAGTGGTTAGAACTGTGAACAATACACAACAACATGCGTTCAACTACCCAAAAGCATCCAAAAGGAAGAGAACACTGCCTTCTCAAAAGAGCTATGGACAAGGAGATGCCGCAAGTGGAGAAGTCTCCATTACAGAAGGAGCTTAAATAGCCACTACTCGCCGTATTGCCAATTCAAGCAAGAAAAGGAAAAAAATTAATGCCACGACAGTTTTTGCAAGTTGAAAAGATGGCACATTATTATAGAACTAAGTAAAACAAACATGTACACCCAAGTACCCAACATATGACTTTTGGACATTTGCAGGAAATTTTTGAAGATGAAATGCTTCGCAAGCTCCATGAACTAAAAAGCTCTCTCAATAAGTAACTAAAATACCCAAGGAACTTCTTAACAGATCAATTGACAAGCAACAAAGTAATATAATTGGGAGGTTTTAAAAGTCAACATTCCCTCACTTGAAGTTATACTATCGCAGGAATAAAATCTTACAAAAAGAGGGATTTACCTATGATCTGGGGATCGGATTTAGTAAAAGATCAATAAGATCATCTATAAAAATAATTTGGGCATTAGATCATCAAAAGATTAAAGAGATCATCTTCTTTGAAATTTTAATATTGCAATTTCTCCATGAATATTATAGAAAATAGTAATTCTCATATCACACTATTAAGATCAAAGTGGATGTTGTCATAAGCATGATAAGACATCAATCAAATAATTTGAACTTATTTAAGTTCCTATAATTGATAGAATTTTTAACCATTTTGTTAGCTATTACTATGTTTATCCCTTTTGTAATTTTTTATTTAAAGGTTGGAAATTCTTCAAAAAAAGCAATCAAAATCTCAGTACTTTTTCTTTTTCCTCTCCCTCTTCTATCTGCCTAACTCAGCCACAAGTTCGGAGTTTGGATACTATAGCCTTATCTAGCACAGCCAACTCTTCTAGTCACAAGTAGGCATTGTCCTTCTTATCAACTGGAAGTGTACGGAGATGCAAAGATGGGAGTTCCACCTTGAGAGGAAGCAATGCTTCCGCCCTGAATGCCAAATCATAAGGAGTTGTCAAAGTTACCATCTTATAAGTAGTTTTAAAAGACAATAATGCCTCGATCAAAGACAATAATGCCTTGATCAAAGACAATAATGCCTCGATCAATTTCTCATGTCATTCACACTCGCTGGCAGAGAGCAATTTTTATTTAAGGCTTCCATGAGTACATTTGCTCTGCTCTCTGTAGCATTTAACTTTGCTTGCTTGCTGGTTGCCTTGCATTCTTGCAATTACCCTGTTTGCTGCTGCCTTGAAAAAACCAACTGCCTTGCCGCTGGTGGATCACTGCTTTCTAACCCAGCCTTGATGCTGTCTTATTGTTGACTTGTTGTTTGTTGCCGCTGCTTGCTCCAAAGCTGCTGTCATTGCAATCAAAAAGCGTCCAGCTGATGTACCAAGTCCAGAGTTCATTTTAGCACTAGAAAAAATAGACTGAAGTGCTGTTTTTAAGTCACCCATTCTTAAAACAGCACTTTGTTTATGAGGTTCAGCAGTGGAAAACAAAAAATACAACAACAACATCAAGCCTTTATCCCACTACGTGGGGTCGGCTACATGAATCCTTTTTCTCCATTGTGTCCTATTAAAAGTCAACATCTCGTTTAAATCTAATAAAGAAAGGTCATTCCTAATATTTTCTAAAGTGGAAAACAAAAAATAAGAGAGAAATTTATCAACAGCAAGAAAGCTCTATTAAGAGATTGGTCTATATATCAGTAATCATACCAGGGCGTAATCAATCCAACAACTCCAATTGGTTCTTTGATAACATAAGACTTAAATGTTTGCAATGGAACAGAAACAGGGGTTCTTTGCTTTCCATCTAAGGATTCTGCAAGATCTGCATAGTACTCAAAACAGGAAGCAACATCATCCTGAAGGACAGAAGAGCATAATAAGTCAAATATTATCTATATTGAATTTTGACGCAAGTCATGAAACTTAGTTAACTCACCAAATCCCACGTAGTTTCATCCAATGGTTTCCCACTATCTAGGGCTTCAAGTTTAGCCAATTCAGATGCCCTCTCTCTAATCTGCAACAAGAAGTTGAAAAATAACAGTAAAGCCCCAAGTAAGATCAGAGAAAGGTAGAACGAGCTGTATTCACTCCAATAACCGAGAATAGCTCGAGTACTTCCTTACAAGGACATTTTTCAAATAGGTCAGGACACGAAGTGCAGGTCTTGTAATGTAATCAAATAAAGAGTAAAATACAAGTTGGGCAACAAATTTTATATTCATATATTTTAACCATGAATCATCATTTAGTATACTTTAGTGAACTGAAAAAAAAATGATGAGCATTTTTAGCCACTTGCCTGTTTCCTGAACCATAAACCAGCTTTAGTAGCTAACAACCAGTAAACTAACATAAAAATGACAAAAGATCATTTTCATGAAAACAGATATTTGGCAATTTATTTTCCAATCAAATATATGAATCACAAATGTAGTTTTCCAATCAGCAATATTCACAAGAGACAAACAACATAAATTGAAAACCCTTTATTAAAAGGTTAAAATTAATTAAAAAAATCATCATCACAATTACCAAAAGACTTGTCCCAACCATTTAGGTTCAGCTTTATAAATTCTTAAACAACTTTCATTCTTGTTGAGTGCTACATAGAGTGCTGACTTATTTTGCATTATTTTAGCATAAAAAAATCCATTTCACAACTGATCTACCATTTTTTACTTTCAAATCTTCTCACATTAATTCTTTCTACCATTGTATTCTAATATCTTATATTTAATAGATAATATTCCCCTGATCTCTCTATATAATCATCTCTTACTCTAACCTTCATAAGTTTCAAAAACATTCATCTAACATTCTTAATTTTATCATGTTAAATTTAGTTGTTAATGAATTCTTCAAACCTCAAAGCTTAAAATCATTCAAAACGCAAGAAATGTCTGTTGAGATTAGAGAATTCACCATTTAACCATTGACTTCAGTTTACGTTATTTAGTAGGTAGTACAATATTTCTCTTGTAAGTATGCCAATAATAATCTCAATAGAGAGCAGGTTATGTTCTCTAATGTTCTAGCCTTCTACCCTTACTTTCAGTTTGATTCCCTATGTTGGTTTGGTTCAGTTCAAAAATTAGTTCTCTTATTTGTTCTCTGTTTGGCCCATCAGTTGAATGAATGTTGGCTCAACCACTAATCAGTGTTATTATGAGCCCTAATTGATTGGTAAATTTGCTTAGGCCTTGCTTATTTCTCGTTGAGCTAGCATTCCTGTTGAGTATTAGTTGATGTGTGCATGATTTATTATTGCACTTTGTTTGGATTTGTAAAACCCTGTTAACCTCTGTAAAAAGAAACAAAAACAGAAAAAAATTTGTACGTACCTCGGACTGAAATCCCTCAAATCCTGCCGAAGTTTCGCCGAGGCACTGTGGAGCAGCGCCGAATGGGTCACCTCCCGCAAAACCAGCGACTCGCCTCGATCGAGAGCCCATTCTCTTCGTTAAATACCGACCCAAAGCCACTCTTCCCGCTGCTCTTTCACACTCGGCTCTCATACGAAATCCCAACTCTCTTCCATTCGCTACCTACACGAGAGCTTCTGAAGCTCTGCCTGTGCCGATCCCGATTCAGAGAGAAACAGAGAGAGAGAGAGAGGAAGATCGGCCTACTTCCTCCCTTGCTAGCCGACTTTGCTCCTCCGGCGTCCCTTCCCTTTCGGATCGAAGGCTCCGACCTTTCGATCGGAACCAGCGACGGGAGTCGCTCGCTGTGACGTTAACTTTCTCCCTTTCACGCGGCTTCTTCGGCTCCTTCACGGTAGTTCGACTTCGCTCCCTCCGACGGCCTTCCCTTCCTGTCTGATCGGAGCAAGCAACAACAGGAGCTCACTTGCTGTGTAGGTAACTTTCTCCCTTACCCGCGCTTCTTCGGCCGAACCAGAGAGTGAGAGGGTGAGGGAATTTTTTTTTAGTATATATAAATATTATTTATATTATTTATTTGTTATAATTTTTATTAATTATGTTTAATAATTACCTAATTATAATAATAATTAATTATCTAATAGTAAATTAATTAATAATTAATAATTAATTATAATTATTTAATTAGTTATAATTAATTTCGATTAATTATAATTAATTATTAATTAATTATAATTATAATTAACTTATTAATTATAATTAATTAATAATTAGTGATTAATTATTAATAATAATTATTTAATTATTA